GCGCACATTCACATGCACATATAAACGCACACATACACACACACGCACTCACTCACACTCACACACACACACATACACTTTCACATACCCCAAACACATTTACACACAACCAAGCAATAGATACATATTATCCGTGTGTGTGTGTGTGTGTGTGTGTGTGTGTGTGTGTGTGTGTGTGTGTGTGTGTGTGTGTGTGTGTGCGTGTGTTTCTGTGTGAACTCGCACGTATGACGAGTTAACGTGAGTGTCTGTGGCATAAAAACATTGGAGGGTGAGGGTGCTTAAGCGCGCACGCGCGTGCGCACGTGTGTGTGGGGGGTGGGGGGTCCTCATACCACAATGGGGTAAATCATTCAAAAGATGAGCTGGGAATGAGATGTAGGACGACTGCGTGGTGAGAATAGTACATCGTACACATGCACTTCTAAATGACCAGAGAGAAAAGTCTATAAAATGATCGACAACATTCTACGGAATATTATTTTGATAAACGGCACAGTGACAAAAAATCGTCCTGTAAGAGCCAGATCCGCGTATTATTATTATTTTTGGGCAAAATTCTTTTTTTTTTCACCAATCGAAAGCGCGTTGTGTCATGGGCTTCATTTCTGTATAAGTTTCATTGAGTTCCCTGCCTTAAAATTGCTTTAAAAAGCAAATAACTGTTTCACTTATCATAGCTGTTTGCTTCCAAATTAGCTCATCTTGAGATGTGCGGAATGGATTTCAATATTGTTACAACTTGGGTGACGCAACAAGAATTACTTCAGAACCGACAGCAAAGCCAAGAATTTCTAAATCACGTGATACGCTTTTGGGGCTGAATGGTTTCCGGTGTGTTGATCATTCATACATACCTGTCTACATTAATCAGTTTTTTGTTCCTCCTGAAAACTTCGCTAAAACCTTGATACGTGGAACTGGCACTTACAGGACGCAATGTAAGTTCTGTATGTACACACACGTGTAAAAAAATGACCAAGAGAGGACAAATCCAGAGGGGTTATGTCATCACATGGCTTCCAGTAACTGGACACTCAGTTGAAAAAAAAAGGGCGGGTGGGGGGGGAGGGTTGGAGGAGAGGAG